TAAAAAAACTAACACAATGCCCTTTATAAACAGCCAGAGGAATTCTCTCTCTACCTTTAACTAATTCATTCACCGATGAAGATTTACAGAAAAAATGGAAAAGACAGAAAGAAATAAAGGGTAAAACCCTCCCTTCCCCGAAAACTAATTATTTGCAAAATATTAATTTCATATGTTCCTATCAACATCAATCATCTAGTTTAGCGGCGTGGGGTAATTCATCTAATCTACCAATGAATTTGAAAAAGGTCGAGGATGTAGACATTGCAAAATACACAAAAGATAATTGGGAACCTTTAAGACACGAATGGGAACCTTACGCTAAAAGAGAAACGTTATGTCTCGGAGCTTGTTTGATAAAATACAATCAAGCAATGAAAGAAGTTGTATTTCAGAATATTTCCAATATTCTAACGGCTCTTTCTTTATATTTTAAGGGTTGGTATTATTTATATCATTACGATAAAGAAATGGTTGAAGAAGAATGGTATGAAAGTACTAGAATGGTTCCGAAACACACCGAAAAAGAAAACGTAGAAAAAGTTTACTCACCCTTTTATAAGATATTTTATCAGACAAGAGTTTCGGCAAATCGAAAATCATTTGAAAAGAATAAAATGGATGAAATTTGTAATATATTAAAGGAATACACAGAAACACCAAGTGATAATATAATTGATTTATTCAAAGAATACACTGCTAACCCAAAAGATAAAACGGAAGTTCACGCTAAACTCAAAGAGCTGGACTATTCTAAGCTAATGGCATTTGATGCTAACGGTTTGTACGCTTCCGCCATGTCGGATTTAGATAGCGAATATCCGAGAGCGGAAAGTGGTAGACCATTTCGACAAGAAGAAAATTAAGAATTTGTTAAGCTCTTTAATGAGCAGAAATTTAGACCTAGAACTGCTATTTTAAAAGTCTGGTTTGAATATCTTACCAGCATGTTCTTCCAACCCATACCAGCTAAAGATAAAATCAGTTTCACGAATAGAATAGGTAAAAAGGAAACTGACACTAAAATCAGGTTCAGAAATGGTTTCTGTCACGACGTTTTAACATCGGTCGATATTCAATAAATAGTGAAAGCCGGTGGACAAATTATTAAAATATTAGATGGTATAATTTACGAAGAAAATTTTAAAACTCCACCCTATAGAGATTATATTTTAATTTTGAGAGATCTAAGATATTATATCCGAGAAGTTGATATCGTAGGTAGTAATTGCATGAAATTATTAGGCAATTCATTGTATGGTAAATCTATTCAAAAGGATATAACTACATCGAGACATCATGGAGTGAAGCGACTTTAAAAGCCAACTGCGATTCACACGTTATAAACTATGAAAAAGTAAATGATAGTCAATATATAGATGAAATTAATGACGAAGAAAAAGAATTTGACTGTACACCTCCTAAATCTACACGACTAACACCTAGTCATTTGGGATCATTCGTTTTATCTCACAGTAAAAAAATAATGAATAATTTTATTCGCGTGATAGATGTATTTTATAAGCCTGAAATATACTATACGGATACCGATAGTTTATACATTTCGTCTAGCAATTGGGATAAATTAAATGAAGCTGGGTTAGTGTCCGAAAATGATTATTAAAGGAAAGAATGATTACGGTGATGGTGGAATTATATTTGGTTTATATTTAGCACCAAAAATTAAATACAATATCATTCTAACTTCCTATAGTGTTCTAAAAGAAATAAAAACGTTTAAGGGTTACTCTAAAGCTAAGATAACCGTAAACGATTATATTCGATTAGCTAATGGACACGATGTAACGAATGAATTTAAGAAACCATGGGTAAAAAGTTTCACCAATGGAGTAGTTATTCCAAAGGATGATGATAAACAAAAGAAAGTTTTTAGAAGTTTATCTAAATCTCGTTAAGAGAAAAGCACCAAACAGTGAAGGAATCATGTATCCTTACAACGACGGAAAAGAATTGAACATGATGAAAACTACGAATTTGATGATTACGATTACCTAACTATTCAAGAAGAGAATGAAGAGTGTTTGTTATCGAAATGTCAATTTTTTTTTTTTTTCGAAATTTAGACACCTTCCTGAGCTTAGACTACAATAGTTGCAGCAACCATTCAACATTCACGAACCTTAGATATAGGCGACGATGTGCATAAATATATTTTGGATCTTTTTTGCAAAACCGGAAGTGCCACAGTTCAATATGTGCAAGAATAGATAATCGGCTCTAGAAGTCGTATTTTTCGGTCGATTTTCTTTGGGTTTGCATTTTTGGAATCTGTTAAAATCTGAAAGAATAGCAGTTTCAAAATTTCAAAATTCGAAAATTTGTCGCAGACATTTTTTGGCCGATTTTCGAAATTTTTGGACCATTTTTCAGTTTTTTTCGGATTAATCTGAAATTTTGATAAAAGATGCATGTCACTAATGTAAACCATTTGACGTATTCAAAATTTTTGCGTCACTTCCGGTTAAAGTGGAAAATCGATTTTCACTTCCGGTGA